CTAAAGCGGCGTCCTCATTGAGTCGACGTTGTCGATCGACTGTGTTTATCGACACTCTCGACTGAGTGTGTACGCGGCAATCGACTTTGTCGATCGACAAAAGATGTCGATCGACGTGTCGACTGGTTTTCCGTGCTCTGTCGGTAAAATCAAAGGGTAGTCGAGTCGAATCGGAAGTGTGTACGTGCATTCGACGTTCGACCTTCGACATTATATAAAAATACAGTAAAAATAATTCAGCGTGCGGTGTAGTCTGCCTCATTTAAAGTCTCGTGTTTTGTACTTGTTGGCAAAATGGAATGGGAAAAAGAAAAATCTATGGAACACTAGAAGCAAATATTATAAAGATCGAAACATGAGGCACGATGCTTTGATGGAAATTGCCAGTGAATTTAACATAGAAAAGCAAGTGGTAGAACAAAAAATAAAAAATCTTCAAAGCCAGTTAGCAAGAGAAATAAAAAAAACAAAGGATGGCAATAAATCTCGCAGTGGCACGGATGATGTGTACAAAAGTAAATGGTTTGCTTATGAAAGTTTAAGATTTTTACGTGACAAAAATAAGACCAGAGAGACGTTGGATTCAGAGGTATGTATAAATTAAATATATTTTACACCTACAATGTCTTTTTTATTAGGCTACATAATATTAATACACATTTTATCACTTTAAGTATTGCCAAGGCACTTCTCCTTCTGGTGTCATAAAATAGTCTTTTAACACGTTTCTGACATGTAGAGCACACAGTGCACTTTTTCTGAGTATTTTTGCTAAGTTTACTAATACAGGTTGATTACAAAGTTTACTTCTCCAAGCTTCTGGAATCAAGTCTGTGGTGTCAGAACAGTCAGCATCGTCTGTTCCAGGAGGATTGTAAATATTTCTGGATGGGCTTTTTCTAAAAAAGTTGTGCAGATAACATGCTGTTAAGATTATTTTAGAAGTAGTAGTCGGTTCTAATAGCATTGGTTTGCGAAAAACTCTAAATATGCTAGATATTATGCCAAAAACATTTTCAGATAATCTCCGGGCCCTGCTAACGCGATAATTAAATACTCTTTCACTAGAACCTTTAGGGTGAAGCCCTGCATAAGGTTTCATTATGTTTATAGACAGAGGATATGCATCATCTGCCACAAAAATATATGGGCTTTTTACATCACTCTTTGGAAGCAGGTTTTCCGCAGGCAAATGCATTGTATTCTCTTCAAGAAATTTATTGAATACAGTGCTACTAAACACACCACCATCATAAATACGCCCTTGGCATCCCACATTGGCATAAATAAAATTATAATTTGCATCGACTAAGGCAAATAAAACAATACTGAAGAATCCTTTGTAATTAAAAAATTCACTGCCGCTATTTATTGGGGATTGCAATGCTACGTGTTTTCCGTCCATAGCTCCGACACAGTTTGGAAAGTTCCAACGATTGTAATAGTCCTCTGCAATAGCTTTCCATTCTGCCTCAGTTTTAGGCATCTGAAATAAAAAAAACTATTTATTTTTATTATCTAACCTATTTAATTTCTAATTAATCTAATATATATATATATATACTCTTGATTACAGGTTTCAACTGAAGTAGATACTTTGGAAGATAAAGGAGATGTGAATGACATCACTGAAAATTATGAGAATAGTCACGATTTTATTACCACAAATGATTCAACAGAAAACCATCTAGCAGAATGTAATATTGCAAATGCTGGAGATGCCGAAAAAGTTGAACGCACAAAGAGAAACACAATTCGGAAAAAACAGTTCAAGTCACCAAATCTTGACCATGTGCATTCCAAGAAAAGGAAAGGATGACCCAATGGTTAATGATGCATACAGGATGATGACACAGGTGTTTTTGGACAGAAATAAAAATGACGTCTTTAGCGTATTTGGAGAAAAAGTTGCTGCTACATTACGAAATTTGCCTACCGCTTATGCTCAAGCTACAGTGCAACACATGATAAGCACGATTCTGTTTGAAGGAAAATTGGGCAATTACAACTATCCAGTATCACAACAGCCACCACCGCAATATTATCCTCAGCATCAGCTTCAGCAGTATCCTGTTGGTTCAATAACGACTTTAATACCGCAACCATCCCCAGAGCATTCTTCATGTTCTTCTTTTACTAACCCCTCAACTCCGGCAGAATCAGGTACTGAAGATGACGAAGCCATAGATAATTTAATTCAACAACTACAACGTCCGGGACGTGGCACTTCACAATAAGCACAGTAGATATAACCAGCATTATTTTTAATTTTGTGTTTGATACGTACATTTATTTGAAAACTTAGTTTTATTTCCGAATTAGTTCACTACATTTTACTACTTTGGTACGTTTTTGTAAGTTTCGTTTTAGTTAATAAAATTCGATAATGTAATTATAATATACCTCTTTCAGTATAAATGTAGTTTTAGTAAAACTCTACTTACCTTTATGTAATCTTGTAATGTGTCAATAAGGGCATCGCAGACTTCCGGAATAATTTGAGAAATTGCTTGTTTTGAAATTTTTAAGAGATACATCAGTGAGTGATACGAATCTCCACTACATAAAAATCGTAATGTCACAGCGAGACGCTCCTTTGTTGGAATTGCATGTCTACAATTGGTCTTTTGCTTACAAATTTTTGGCCCGATTTTTTGCAACAAATATTCAAATTCACTTTCCGACATTCGAAAAAAAATTTCTGAAACCTCCGTTACATCTGTATTCAAGGTTCAATAGATCGATATCATCCTTTTTCAAATCTTCCATGAGGATACTACCGCTATACCGATTTCTACTTTGAAGGCTTGGTCGAACCCAAAATCTTCTTTTACGTGATGATTTACGTTTTTTAGTTGTGATAATAACAAATGCGGCACAAACAATAATGGCGTCATCTTCGTCACACATTTTCGTTTCGACTGTCGACAAATATTCTGCCTACCTGGTGTGGACATCGAAGCTTTTTCAATCTGTCGGTCGACAGTGTCGATAGACAGAGTCGATCGACAATGTCAACTCAATGAGGACGCCGCTTAATATGACCTGAGGTGACACTTCTTTAAAAACGTAAGACTCGAATTGGTAATGCTCAAATGTATTGAGCCTTACCTTTCAAGCCCTGGGTAGTTTTACAGAACGTGTTCCGCTGTCCCGTCATAAGCCTTTTAGAATGTACAATTCGTATTCTCTGTCAGTCCTATTTATCCAATTTATACAGTGAAGCCATCTCAGAATTAGCACTTGCCGAGATCAGTGAGGGCCTTATAATAAACGGTGAGCAACTTAATAACATAAGATATGCTGACGACACCGTACTTCTAGCAGGAACACTAGAAGTACTGCAACACCTTGCTGAACAACTAAATATATATTGCAACGATTATGGACTAAAAATCAATTTAAAGAAAACCAAGTTCATGGTATTTACAAAAGCACAAAACATCAAAGTTAAGCTAGTACTAGATAATACAGAAATTGAACAAATATCTTCGTACAAATACCTTAGAGCATGGATCATAGAAGATACTGATCAGACAAAAGAAATGAGATGCCGCATTGAAATTGCGCGGTCAACTTTTAATAGAACGAGAAAACTTTTTTGTAATCGCGATATCAATATATCGCTCCGGATAAGAATGCTTCGATGTTATATTTTCTCTACCCTTTTGTATGGAGATGAAGCTTGGACACTTAAAAAATCCAACATTAAAAACCTATAAGCATTCGAAATGTGGTGTTACCGACGGATTTTGAAAATATCATGGATGGATCGCAAAACAAACGAACAAGTTCTCGAACAACTAGGAAAACAATGCAAAGTTTTAAATTCCATAAAAATAAGGAAACTGGAATACTTGGGGCACATAATGAGAGGTGAAAAGTACGAACTACTAAGGAATATAATGCAGGGTAAAATCAAAGGTAGAAGAAGCGTAGGAAGATGTAAAATCTCGTGGCTACGCAATCTCCGTGAATGGTTTGGATGCAGTTCAATTGAACTATTCAGGCGAGTAACCAATAAAATTATAATTGCCAGAATGATTTCCAATCTCCGATAGGAGTGGAACTTGAAGAAGAAGAAGTCAGTCCTATTTTGTTCATTTGCCCCTTGGGGCGAGGCGAAAGTTCCCTATTAGAAGAATTACGATAATTTGCGGATAATTTCTATTCATATCTAGAAGATCTTTGAATCTCTTCTTCGAAGGATCATATATGAAAGTCTTTGAATGTTTGAGACCTATTTGTTCATACCAGTTCATCCGTTCTACCCAGTCCGATATTGTTCCTTTGGCTGAGCTAGTAGTATTGGAGGAAATCATGATCCTTATTAATAGGGAAACTACAATAAAAAGAGAGAGAGAGAGAGAGAGAAATAATGTTGAAATTAAATAGGGAAAGGTGGTATAAAATGAGGAATGCAGTCCTGAAAATATTATGTTATTAAGACAATACTGTCTTGTAACAAGGAATCAAAATTTTTAACAGTCAGAAATTATATTAAAATTTAAAAACACACTCTTCACTAATGCAAAAATTAAAGGGTCGACAAGAAGTCTTCTACAAAAAATTCCGACCGTAAATAAACAAAAACAGACACAGAGAAAGTCGGGATATTCGCAGAACATCTTTCGACTTTATTTAGTCTATTAATTAGAGTACTGATGCTAGAGTAGTGAATAGTTGAGGAATTTAAGTTATAAATAAATATAACAAAAGAGATATATTTATATAATCAATAACAACAACATTACCACTCAAAATATTGTCGGATATGAAGTATTCGATAATTTTATAATCTTGATTAAGCTATTAATCAAGAAGGGAAATTTAAACAGAAAATTCAATAAGGCATGCAGATAGGTAGAACAGCGAAATCTTAAATTACCAAAATAATAACAAAAAACACTACCCACTACTACAAAAGTCCCTTTTAAGTCATGTCTATGTAGACTTATTTAATATACCTATAATTAGATTTTCTACAATTTTATTTTTAGTTACTTAGTGACAGAATGTTCTTCAATGGTGCTGAAACATCGGTTAGACTACAATCAAAAGCTTCGAAAAGTCCTGTCTATTATTACATTGACACCTACATTCCGGCAGATCCGATTCTACCTATCTTTGGAATGAAACGTGGTAAGTTAAAAATAATACAGTTGAATTTCATTTAAGTTTCTAAAAGCATTTTATGAAAATTATGAGTTGTTTGTTAAGTATTGAACTAGAAATGAAAGGTAAGTTTCTCGTGAAAGAAGGAGGGAGAAAAAACGGCGTGATGATGAAGATTTATAATCAAATACTAATTTCTTGTTTTTTGAATAAAGAATGTATTTTTTTGTAAAATTAAATAAAATTAAAATGACATTAAATAAAATTTAAAAAATTAAATAAAATTAATTAAAATAAACATAAGTTTATTTTCGAAACCCTATAGTCGTTTATAAATAAGTATTTACAAATAAAAAGTTTTCAATAAAAATGAATTAATATTCGCTCCGTGCGTGACCATGGTAGGGGTACCTTGAAACGATTCCAGCGTGCGTAGCGGAGAAATATCACAAAATTGAACCTCGCTTTTTGCTCATAATAATTATCAAAAATTTGTGCAAATACATGTTGTGTATTTAATTGCGCTAATAATAGCAAAAACAGTGAGTGTAGTTTATAGGTTCTCAAAAATTACATATAAATTACCGAAAAGAAAAAGATGGATTCGTGCTCTTAATATGAAAAAGTAAATATCATATAATTTCATTTTTATGCAATTGAAATAGGAAAAATTTAAATAATTTACCTTAAATGATATTTTATAAGGCTTCAAACTAACTGCAGAGTGCTTGATGACGTTAGCTTTTATATCATAACCTTTACTATTACTGTTTTTAATTGTATGCTCTTTCACGTGAAAAACTTAATTTGCCAGTACTAGATTTTTTCCTTTCTTTTCCGTTTGGAGTTGAAAAGATATATTATGATGAATTTTGAGAACCTCAGCTTTTAATACTACATTTATTTTGTACATAAACTGTAAAAATAGAATTAAAAAACTAATTATTAATAATTGTCAATTTCGCATGCATATAATAATCTTAAAGATATGTCTTATGCTTAACTTGAAAAATGGGAGGTCCAAAACTGTCAGATGAAGGCGGTAGGTGTCGCGTCAGTCACGCACGGAGCGAATACTCTCCCATTATTCATGAGTATTTTTAGAATATAATGATAATCAAAATGAAATAATTCTGTTATAAGTTATTCTGAAGCTATTTTCTTGTAGCAACTTAATGCAATACCTATTTTTATTTATGAAATTATTAAGCATAAATACAAGATAATAATGAAAATTTTTATTATAAAAAATATTACCAGTTTGTAGTAAGCAGACATAAAATTATATTAATCTACATATAGTAATAACACGCTAGTCACTCCTGTCGGCACTCTCCAAGTGCCACGCCTTTTTTTTATATCATTTTTATATAATTTTACAGTTAATTACTGATGCTGTTATCTGATACAGTAATCAAACCTAACAGATTCACCTCTCTATCATCTGTCTACTAGATACATCGCTGTAGTATTACGGCTATTTCTTATTAAAATAATAATAATTAAATAATATGTAATACATATAACAATTATGTGTTTTAGGCGTTGCCCATGGTGACGATGGAGGTTTAATATTTAAAATTATAACCGTCGGAGCAGTTTTAGACCCACAAGATGAAAAACTCATGAAGCATTTAACAAAATTTGTAGCGGATTATGCTAAAACTGGGTAAAGTATGGATACATATATTTTGTTATTAAAAATAATTTGAAGATAGTTGCTAACACCTCGAATACTCTATGTATATTATTGTGTTTTTATCTATCTATCTCTATCAGGATTTTTACAGCTGTCGCCGCCTTCCTTCATTAAGCCAACGTCTCCAGTCCTTTCTGTTCTGCCATTCTCCATCTCCAACGTCTCGTCTTTCCTTGGCCTCGTCCACTTCATACCTCCATGATCTTCTTTTCCTCCTTCCTATTGGGCCCCAATCCAAAATCTTTGCTATCAACCTTGTATGATCTTCTGTCTCCCTCTCTCTCTCTCTCTCGTATGTTCTTCTTATATGTCCATACCAAATTAAACGTGTTTCTTCGATGTAGCTGAGTATGTCTTGTTCTACTGCCATTATTTTTTGATGCTATTCTTTTTTTATCCATTTTTGTCACCCTGCAGCTTCTTCTCATGAACTCCATTTCAGTTGCTGCGATTTTGGACCTGTTTCTGTTATTTATTACCCAATTTGTAGATGACATCTTCTGCTGTTGGAGCGGGAAAAAGAAGAAAGAAAGAGCAGCTACTGGAGTGGGGATACTAGTTAAGAAAAAATAAGTAAAAACAATAAAAACACATGGGAACCCATAAATTAGCGAATAGTAAAACTCATCATGGAAATCTATGGCAGGAAAATCGTGATACTGGGAATATACGGCCCTACGGATAACAGTCTGGTAGTAGAAAAGGATCAGTTCATCGATACTTTACAAGAAGAGATCGGAAAAGTGAGACCAACCCAAGAAATAATAATAGCAGGGGACCTAAATGGAAGAACAGGGAAACGACAAGATGATAGCACGATAGGCTATTTTGGAGAAGATGTGACAAACGATAATGGAGAAAGACTAATTGACCTGTACGAACTTAACAATCTGAAAATTACTAACGGTTTTTTCAGACATAAGGACATACATAAATACACGTATGTACAAACAACGAGAAACATCAGATTCATTATCGATTACAGAATTGTCAACAAAAGTAATAGGTACTATTAAAATTAGAGATACACAAGAAAAGAGAGGAGCCGAATGTGGCACTGACCACCGATTAATAATTTCACAAATGGAGTTTCCCTACACGTTGAACACCCAAACTAGAAGGAAAAAAGAACACGAAGAAGACCAAGTAGAAAATGAACAGAAAGAAGATGAAATGAACTTCAACATACATTTACTTCAAGAGGAATCTATAAGAGAACTATACCAGAGAAGACTAGACCAGAAGTTACAGGATTTCGGTTTCAGAAACGTCAAAGAAACGTACGAGCACGTCAAACTCAGCATAAAAAAGGCGGCATTAGAAGCTTTGAGGAAACTTGAGAAAAGAAATAACCAACACACAGTAAAAATAAACAAGGAAACCAAAAAAAAATGTATTGAGGAGAAGAAAATTCTATATATCAAAAATGTAAGTATGAGCACCCAATTTGAGTAAAAAAGTATGAGCACCCAATCCCCAGAAGTACAAACAGAAAAACAGAGAAGTAAAACAAAGAAGGGCAAAAGAAAAGAATAAAGAATAGGAAGAAACACTTGCACAAATTAAACAATACATAGGAGGAACAAGGAATTTGGAATCCTGGAAAATACTGAAATCTTTAAGAAAAAATAACAACGAAAAGGTCCAAATACAATACATATCAGAAAAAAAAAGTGGGAAGAACAGATTGAGAACAACAACAAAATCAGAATGACGAATAGATTGAGATAACATTAATCGAAGTAAAGAATGCCATAAAGACTTTAAAGAACAAAAAATCAGGGTGACCAGGAGGAATCGTTAATTAACTAATTAAGTATGGAACGGACAAACTACACAGAAACACTAAATGTTCAGTAACGCTATAAACCTGAACGAAATACCAGATGAATAGACCAAAGCATATATAACCTCGATACATAAAAAGGAGGATAAGAAGAAATGCGAGAACTACAGAGGCATCAGTGTAATAGCATGTATGGGCAGGTTATATGGAAAAATACTAAAAGAAAAACTGGAAAAATCTATCTCAAATAAAATCGGAGAAGATCAGGCGGGGTTCACGGCAGGAAGATCTTGCATAGACCACATATATACACTCTAACAATTAATTGAAAAAAAAAATGGCAAAAAATAGACCAGTACAGATGGCATTCATGGATTTAAAAAAGGCATATGACACGGTTCCCAGAAAACAACTATGGAACACGATGAAGTAAATCAGAATAACTCAGAGCTTAATAGAAGCCGTAAAAAACCTTTACAACAACAACAAGGTAAGAGTTAAAACGGGCAATAAATACTCCAACGAATTTAAGACCACAAAAGGATTATTGCAGGGATACTCTACATCTCCGACACTGTTCAAAATATTCCTCGAACAAATATTAAAACTATGGAAAAGAAAATGTGAATGGATTGGAATACCAATCCGGGACAACTTCTTGTACACATTAAGCTTTGCAGATGACCAAGTGGTAACGGCTCAAGATGAAGAAGATCTCTATATGCTCCGAAAATTAGAAAAGGAATACACAAAAAAATGGACTGGAAATAAACCTAGAAAATACCGAATATTTAACAACAGAACCAGTGAGAAACTAGGAAATGGACGATGATAGGGAAATTAACGGCACTGAAAAATTCAAATATTTAGGATCCATACTCTCAAAAAAAGGAACGACCGAGCAAGAGATAACCAGCAGATTAGCACAGACAAGAACATATATTAAACAAATGAACGGGGTACTGTGGAATAGACAGATTACCAGACATACAAAGAAGAGAATTTATAACACCTTGGTATGCAGTATAATGACCTATGGAGTAGATAATTGTTCATGAGAAGAAGCTGCAGAGTGACAAAAATAGATCGCATCAGAAATGAGGAGATAAAACGAAGAATGGCAGTAGAAAAAGACATACTCAGCTACATCGAAGAAAAACGTTTAATTTGGTATGGACATGTGAGAAGGCCGGAACATACAAGGTGGATAGCAAAGATTTCGGGTTGGGGCCCAATAGGAAGGAGGAAGAGGTAGATCCCGAAGATCATGGAGGGATGAAGTGGACGAGGCCATGGAAAGACGAGACCTTAGAGATGGAGAATGGTAGAACAGAAAGGACTGGAGACGTTGGCTAAAAGAAGGAAGGCGGCGACAGCTGTAAGAATCCTTATATAGATGGATATTAAAACCGATGACAAAAAATTTTAATTTTGAGTTGCGACAACAATTTGAAATCTGAATAAAAAACGCAGAATTTAATTTTTCACATTTTTCACTGGAAACGATTTTGTGTGTAGTTTATAGCAGAAATTTGGTTCTGTTGAAAAACATACTAGTGTAATTAAAAAGAAGTTTTAGACGTTTTAGATCGTTTATTATGCGAAAGTTTAAATCCAGCGTAAACTAGTCCCTATCGTAAATGGAATAATTTTTGCGACGCACAAGGTATACCCTTAAGTGGTGAAATTGATTCGAGGCGGATCCTTATTACACCAAAGTCCTCAGAATGATAATAATTTTCCAGCATTGTTGCGGTAAACAGCTAAATCTGGGGATAAAAATGTTTCTGAACATTTGGTAACTTCCCAGAAGAATGCTCTTTACGTCAGCCCTCAAATCCAAAATAAAATAATTGACATTTGTGGTGAAATTATTGAATAAAAATCTGACTCGTTTATATTGACAATTCAGACATACATTATGCATTTTAAAGTAGACGACTTTAAAATGATATTGCCAATATTGTTGAGTTGCGCTCCTGGGACGACTTTACTTATAAGATAGTTCATTCGATTACATGAAATCAACTTTAAGTTGAGAATATCCGTCAGAAAAAAATCATAGCATGTAATTCATCTTTAAAAAGACAAACACATGACATGATGACAGTAAAATTCTCCTCTTAGTGATTCCATAGTAAATTATGAGGGAAAAACCAGGAAAAAACCTCATAATACTATCCCGACATGGTAAGTATTTGTTCGTGCATTTAGTTTACCTTCAATAAACACCAAATCACAATATAAATGTAAAAAAGGGAATAATTAAATGCTTATACGATAGAGCCAAAATTACTTGTTCTAACGAAAATTCGTTCTTGGAGGAGAAACATTTGTTAACATCTGTTTTATTAAAAAATGATTATCCTTTATCGTTTATAAATAAGGAATTTTCAACAATCGATCGAATAGAACAGAACAACTTAGAAGGAGATCCTACAGCATACACAAGAAATAATACGAGAAAAATAACAATAACGTACATAAAAGGATTATCAGAAAAATTTAAAAGGATAGGAAATAAATTCAACATTTCAACAACATTCAAAACAACAAACACGTTGAGATCTATTTTGTCCAAAACCAAACCTAACAATGAACAAGAATGGACAAAGAATTGCATTTATAAAATACCTTGTGAATGCGATCAGTTTTATTTAGGTGAAACATCAAGGCCATTAAATGTTAGAATAAGTGAACATTAATCTTATATTAAAAATAGAGAATTTGATAGATCTCAAATATGTAAACACGCATGGGATAATGAACAATGGGTTCAATGGAATAATTCAAATGTAGTCCTAAAAGAAACGGATGGTAAAAAAAGAAAAATTAAAGAAGCAGCTCTAATTATGCTAAATGAGGCCAATTGTGTCGCAAATTCCTCGGCAGAATGTAGGGATCTGGTTACCAATATTGAAAGAGGAAACTATTAATAAGTAAAAACCAGTATTAGTAAGTCAGTAACATATAGAGGATACATCATTTATGTTTTTTAAATTACGAAACATATAAAATCAGAATTTTGGTGTTTATTGAAGGTAAACTAAATGCACAAACAAATACTTACCATGTCGGGATAGTATTATGAGGTTTTTTTGTGTCATGTGTTTGTCTTTTTAAAGACGAATTACATGCTATGATTTTTTCTGACGGATATTCTCAAGTTAAAGTTGATTTCATGTAATCGAATGAACTATCTTATAAGTAAAGTCGTCCCAGGAGCGCAACTCAACAATATTGGCAATATCATTTTAAAGTCGTCTACTTTAAAATGCATAATGTATGTCTGAATTGTCAATATAAACGAGTCAGATAAAATTAAATTATTAGAAGAATTTTTCACTATGTAACAAAAAACAAAATTTGTTTAATTTACTGTTTGTATTTTGAGAACGATTTCCGAAGTGGAAATTGAAACGTCAATAAACGTATTCTTTTATCTTTAATTGTGGCTTATTCCCAGTTAAATAGTAATTAATTTAAAATGCCACAATAAAATAGCTCCAGAACAATAAAAAGATTATTGGTGGTGAAGTGAAGGACGATAAATTTCATGCGATACTCGCTGCTGAGACGATTGACATTGCGTGTATATTCAATAACTAGATAAAAAGGAAAGTCTTACATTATCTTGCGATTTTATAGACAATGATATAATATTGTTTTTTCCTAAAATTTAGTATGCAATTGCAGAGTTTTTTAATTTATTGTTTTGATTTTAGCAAACCTTCTATAAATAACGTTGAATGGTTGCCGGTGGATCCCGATAGTAAAGAAATAAATGCTTTGGAAATTGAATCTCCAGATAAAGTATTCATGACAAAAGTGGAGCATATTGGATCTATGGAATTTTGGGATAGCTTACCTATAAAAGAAAATGAGAAATTATATCCTGAACTGCGTTAAATGTGAATATTCTTTCTATTAAATTATCAATGCAATTTTAATTTGTTTTATTTCGACATTTAAAAGTTAACTTTTGTTTCGTTAATGGCAAGTGATTTTAAAATTTAAACAAAATTTACGATATAGCAAAACTTGACAGGCACACCACAACTTGTAAAGACTATATTGCTTACCACAGAGTAAGAATATAGGGGACAAGATTGGGCAAACAAAATAATCAAAACTAGTGCGTACGGAACTCAGTTGGTTGTTGGAGAGCTGGGTCGTGTATAAGTTGAAAGATAAGTAGGTTGGATTGGGGCAACTACAAAAAAAAAAGAAATAAAGGGGTACTTATGCAAATCTCTTGGGACAAACAGAATGAAATTAGACCGGAAACACCTCAAGAAATTTAATATAGAGCGCCACTTGAGGTGCCTAATTATACCTAATACAACCACTAGTTATAACTAGGGAAATAATTATAGAACATCAAAAATATAGAAAAAAATAAGTATATTTTTCTAATAAAACTCAAAATAGAGCAGAGAAACAAATTATACGTTTTTTTTATCTCAAACAAACAGTTATCAAAAATACAGATTTTACAAGAACATATTATACAACATAATCCAAATTAATAAAAACTTACATGTTCTTTATTTACATAAAAGATTGCTACAAAAATTTTAAATGGTTTTTAGGTTATATATGGCCAATTTAGATTATCAACATTTTATGGATATCCTTTTTATGAAAATTTTTAGCTACGACAAAAATAATATAAAACTTTGATTATTACAAATTCTTTTATTTTAATGAAAGCAAAAATTAAAAATGTCACGTCACTAAATTTCACGTCTGGGGTCGGGAACTGGATCTATTGAATTTGAAAATTTCTGGGAGAACTTTACTGGGAATCTCTGCACACGAACAAAAGGACTGCTTCAAGACATGGAGGATTAAAATGGGCGGCATTAGAAACAAACTTCAGACTGGACTTAAAAAAAACAGGAAACTGGAACATCAGAATTGCTGCAGGCGACAACAAATCTCTTAAATACCTTGCAAAATGGTGGTGATTACTCTTTCATAAACTGACACATTACAGAGAATAAATTTCGCTACATTCAACAAATTTTTGCAGGTATTTTTTTTTGTCAAAACTACATAAGGACCGTTGCCTTCGACCAAATCTAGCTTTACTGACGGCCCGCGTTCATTCTCCCAATTCAAACCCGAATCACCCTTTTTTCCCGCATTTAGTCCATCATCCACAAACTTAAAATAAATAAAAAAATCGGACCCTCGTTCTAAATGACCAAAAAAACTTCTTAAATATTCCAGTTTATTGCGTTTTAACTACGAAAGACAAATAAAAACTCTTTTTTATATTAAGGGGCATCATGAAATATATTCCCTTTATGCGACAAAAAACTTGTCGAAATATATATAACATGATACAAATTAACAAAATAGCACATAGTTTTTAAACTGGAGTTCTACCTGACTTTGTAACAAAAGGTTATGGGATTTGAAAGTACACATAGACAAACAATATATCCAGCAATATTTACGCATTTAAGATTTTCGTAAAAGACAAACACAGATTTTATGGCAATCTTTATGCGTACTGACGAGATAAACGAACAGGGACGTATTATAAAATTTAAAACGCTACAAACTGACTCATCATACGGTCAGATTTGTGATGGGACTACTGCACTCCCTAATCCTGAGGTGTAACTCCATTGTACTCAGGAGATGCATTGCACAGAGGAAAAAGTGTTGCTTTAAGCGATGCCCCAGAAAGCTGAATTTCTGAGCCTATAAATATAAACATAACGGAAATGATTAAAAGGTGTTTGCAGAGGAACATTTTCTGAGTCAATTGTCAAAAAAGTCTCTCTGAAACTCAACGAAAGATCAAGACAGACAAAAATAGACGTTGGGACAATTTTGAAAAAACCAAAAAAGAAGGGAACTGGTAAAACCCGAGGCTAAAAAAAACCTGAAAATATTGTAACCCCCTCACATTAAAGTGGGAACACTAAACAGCAGACTAGCTCATATAGAAATGTCACACAACTATTCAGAATGTCGGTGATACACAGACGCCATCCTGATACTTAAATAGATCAGGCTTAAGTAGATTTGGTTATTAATAAACTAGAACAAGCAGTAAATGAGGCACATATGACAGTCAGATTGAATCAACTTCTGCAGTTACATAAAATAATGTTTAACACAAGGATCCGAGGTGCTTTTTTTACTCTCCGATTTTGCCGGTACTCCCTCATTATCCTCAAAATCCATATCTAGTTTATTCGAAGGTCGCTGTTGTTTTTAGGTTTAAGCTTTAATTTTAATTTGTCCAGCAACAGACTGTGATCAGATGGAACTTCGGCACCAGGATTTCAATAATTTTACTGCATTTCTCTGTAGCGCTCATTGGTGGTTAGGTTGTTTTTTTATTTCTCACGATATTACTGCTTAAAATTTCAAAGTGAATAAGCCCCGTTTAGGTAATTTGAAATAGGTAATCATTATAGATAGATTATTTCCTTTGCCAAAATGTGTCAAATAATCTTTCCTTTTAGTTTTATCGCACAGTCTAAAATCTACAATAATGTTACTTTGTTTGTGTTTTGTATGTAAAACTTACTGAGGTTGCTAGTGAACTGATTAGAATAATTCCAAAAAAATGGAATATTTTGATTGCGAATAAATTAGCGATTAATTGAACAATCACGAAAATACCTTGCGTAAATCATTATTGTTATCTCTACCAAGAAAAGGCACTTACCGTTTAAATTTGCTGTATTAAATGCAGCTAGCCGAGTAAAATAGTGGCTGAGCCGCTTGGTGAGTGAAAAACCGACGCACAAAAAGGACGGTCCGCGTATCCAATAAACTGGAGATATTAACAGTCCGATGTCTCGTTTTGATTTGTATTCCCTTGGTAGTGGGACAAGTGCATTCCCATAAATCAACGATATTGTATTGCGCTTTTAAAAGGCGATAATTTAAATAAATAGTTCCCAAAAATTTGATATTTTGTAGCGTTCTCTGTGCTTTCGAGGCAGTTAAAAAATAACTTAAACACAAGTGAATTTCTATGAACTTAAAAACAGATTACCATGTGTTAGCCAATTTGACAATGATAATTTACAGAAAGAAAATTATTATGCTATAATCTGTAAATGAGTTAGTTCACATTCTAATATAGAGATCACATTTTAATATAGTCATATTGTATAAAATATGTAAATAAATACTCAATACTTTCCCAAACAGTCTCTTCTTTCAAAAACCAATGAAAGGTTCCCCTTTCTCAAACTAACATGGGAAAATGTCTGAGCCAAAGCCTCAAAATAAACGAGGATGGTTGCTGGTACATTGACCTGGCGAAAAACCATCGAGCTTTATGGTATCGAGGTAATGGATGTTGACAAGAGCTATGACCTTGTAAATAACAGGTAAACTTGTGTACTGCATCGGCATGACTCATAGCTCTTGTCAAAATCCATTACCTCAAAAAGCTTAATGAGTGCTCACTGTAGAGTGTTAGTACATAAGAGATAATCACTTCCTAACAAACTGTTCCTAACAACATTAGAGCTTGTGAGGCTGTAAGAAAGCGTAATTCTGACGAAAGACCGTCGGGATAGTTGCTGGTACATTGGCTTAGCGAAAAACCATTGAGCTTTAAAAACTAAATGAGTACTCACTACAGAGAGTGAGTAGATGAGAGAAAATCACGTCAAGCGTGATTCTGTCAATTTGGCTTACTCTTGTAGAGTTTTTTTAAGCAAAATAAGACGAAGAAGAAAAGCCGTAAGTAACGATAAATAGTAACATTTTTTAAAGAGGTTTAGAAAAATCTGATCTCTAGAGAACCCTTTATAGTTCCAAAATTACTTATTTACTTATAGTCTATACGTTTGCTTTATATCGCAAATAAAAGAATAACGAAAATATCGAAAATAAAATACAAAACGAGATGGCTTTTTACTATCAGTAAAAAAATGTCTATTAGCGACACACCTGCCCACATAAGCAAGATGTTGTCTGGTGACTTGTCCACCTTCTTAGAAATGGCAGGATGGACTGAGCTGAAGACGACAGCTCCCTAGAAGAATGCAAAATGGGTCAATTTTGGTCTAATGCTTCAAAGTTCTACAGACATATATATTTAACAAAAAAGAGGTCGTAAAGAGGTCTAAGTCTGAACGTAGTTCTCATTTCGAGTAGGACTCGGTATGTTGCCTTTAATTTAAATCTATTAACATCGACTTTATTTTAATTTTTAGCACATTTAAAATCTAATGTAATGGTTATTGGACCTTTTTGAGTGGCTAGTTATAACTGCTAACTGTTTTTACTGATTATGATCTGATGAAGACTAAAAGAGATCTAACGAAATTGTAGTCAGTTTGAAAAATTTTAAACTTAAAACCACGACTGGTTCAGGGTCGGATTTAAAATATCTGCCAATGGTGTATCGACAAACAAATCAATTTATTAATTTATGATATATTAGCACATTTAGCGCCACGCTGTAATTGGTTATTCACTTCCTGGGATCAAACATATGAAATGCCTTTTTTTCTATAAATCTATTTTGTAACTAATAATTATTATATTTTAAACCATACTTTCTTTTTCCAACTTTGTTTTTTTGTGATTTTTTTTAATGCCCACCAGTGGTTACGTGGTCCCAGGATGTAATTTTACAGTGTGGGACCAAATGTCCACCAGTGGTCATGCATTTTATTGTTTCTTTTGTTGCACATTTTTAACAATAATGGCAAGAAGACGTCTTACAGAAGAAGAATTGCTTCGGGAGTTGGAAAATTTGTCTGATGTTGAAGCAGAAAACTATTCCGACGACGACTCCACTGCAGATCGGAATTACTCATATGAAGGAAGCTCCTATTCAAGTGAGGATGAATTAGCTCTATCTGATGTCGAGGACGAAGCTGCTGAAGTTGTTCAATCTGGCCGATATTATACCCGAGACCAAGTGGGAGCCTGTGACAGGAGACAGATTG